TCCACCCTAGTTTTAAATTATTTGTGTGATGACAGTTTCATAAATTCCTGGACACACAAGATGGAGACATCAATATTTTTCAATGAATATTAAACGCAACTGTGAAATATCTTTCCATAAATATCTCATCATCAAAATATAATTTCTTTTAAGTTTTGTTTCCAATTAAAAGTATTAAAAATTTAACGCAGATTAAAACTATTACTTGAAATAGTTGCAAAGGAGTAAAGGCATGATTCATTGGTTTACAGTTCCAAGGAACACATTAACGGTCTAATTAGCTGAAACAATACAGTAAAATATGGCACTTCGGGACATGGTTTAGCAGACATGGTGGTGTTGGGTTGATGGTTGGACTTGATGATCTTAGAGGTCTTTTCCAAGCTTAATGATTCTACGATTCTAATGATACACTCAATATATCACTTCAGCCATTTACTTAATATGTTTAATAATAATTACAAAAGTAATTTTTCTAGCTGACTCTTTCTTAGTAACTCTATTGCCTGTCTTTTTACAAATAAAGGGAATGTTTTTCACTCCAGATTGTATGAGTAAAGATGCAAAACTGTTGCGAAACTTATTATAGTAAAGAGAAACAGAAATTTACAGTGCATTTTTAAACCTTCAACTAGTGCAAGCAATGTTACCTACCCATCTGCCATGACTTTCTGAAGATCTGCAGCGTGAAGAAAAGTAATAGCCAAACCAAAAGAATCCTTTGCTTTAACATGCATACAAAATGCAGCTAAAAGGAACCAGAGAGACAAAGTCCCAGAACCTGAAGATTTACAGGGATACTCCTTGGCAACCCAGGGTGCCTGCCTACATATCCTGCTGCCACTGCATGCCAAGAGGATGTCCCATGCTTGTGTGATTATGAGTTCTCCTAACCATCTAGACCGATGTTTTAGGAAAAGACACTTGATTTCCCTGCAAGCTCATCCATTACTGCAGAGCAGCTCTTCAAATGCTTCCCATCACTGACCACGCGTGCTGACCACCAGGAGGGTGGGAAGGGCACAGAAGCAACATGCCACTAGACAGCCAAGAACAGCACGGCGCAGCCGGCCAGGGAGACGTCTGCTCTGCTGGAGTTGGTATGCACATCACTGCTTTCCAGAAGCTAAGATGGAGTGCCTCGCCAATACAAAGTAGGACCAGGGTAGTACAGCAACATACACTGGGTGACCCTGAGAAACTGGAATAATGGAGAAAATTGAAAGAAGAGAATCGTATGTTCAAGCATTAAAACAAAAAAAAACTATCGTAAATTAGGAGATAACAGCTTGAAAGCATGTTAAGGAAGGAAGGCTCAGGTATGCTAAAAGTGACCAGGGTTAAAACGTATGAATAATACAGAAGTATTATGTAGAGGTATTCCACAGAAGGATATTAATGCTGCCTATAAAAACAGCAGGAGAATAAGCAAAGGAAGGAAAAGAACTACTTAAGCTGCAAAGCAATAAGGCAATGCATCTTAAAGATGTTGGCATGAAACAGCCAGAAGTAAATTTAAGCCAGAAACAAGAAGGTTCACAAGCACTGCAATATTTCGGCTCAGGAACAGTCTTCTATGCCGAGAAGCAGGGGGAACTTTCTAGAGTGTATAAAACAGATCAAAAACTTTAGGAAAGGGGCAGTGCAAGTAGATGCGTATGGTAGCCACAGTCTGGATTAGGTGGTCAAATTGATGCTTGTACTCTTTCCATGGAACAGAAGCAAATGGAGGGAAAGTGATGGGATTGGGAAACAGGGCTTTCTCTCTAGCAGAGCACCAACAGGAGCCAAGATAATGGCTCTGGAATATGTGTGTCTAATGCACAGTTTCCTCTCTTGGCTCATTAAAACAAAAATAGCATAACTTGCTATTCACATAATTTTTCACTGCTGCCCACTCCCAGGTTAAAACTGGATCCCTTTCTTCTTCAGGTTAAGTAACACAAGCACAGCAGATTTTCAAAGCTATTTCTGACCACAAAAGCTCCTGTTTCTTTGATCTCCCCCCCCTTCCCAAGTTCCTCATTTTCTGCTGAGGCATGGAGGATGCCACAGAAAATGTGCCCAGAATCCCACCAGTGAACAGGGAGAAAGACAACAGCATGCCAAGGTGCACCAGCCATCACAAGCTCATCTGGCTTAGAAAGTGATATCTGAACAGTCAGGCTTAAAAACCACACTCTCCATCAGTCCCACAGAACTCAGCTGTGTTCCCAGAGTCTACAAGAAAAGAATAAATCTGCATAGTATAGCTGGATAGCACAGTAAGGAACATGATGTTGAAGAACTGAATTTTATTGTTTAAAAATACTGTTTACATTGCCTGCAACATTTCTCTAAGAATAAGAATCAGATTATTTCTTTAAGTTTCAGAAGAAATTGTTGTACCAACTGTCACCAATCTGGATGAACCTTTTCTGTAATAGACTGAGTTCATCCCAACATCAAAAGCACAGGGTCCACTCAGATGTCTTTCATACTCCAAGAAATAAAACCTGCTTGAAGACTAACAAATTGGTCAGCAATTTATGATTTCAGACAACTCCTTTGAATGTTCCTCAAGTGCACAGGGGTGCTAATTAGACTGAAAAATGTTCAGAAGATTGTTGCAGATTAAGTAAAACAAACATGGAGAGAAGCTTAAACTTCCCAGGAAAGTCTACAGCAGTTAAATGTTTTTGACATTGCTGAATGTTGTCCACCATGCAGTCCAAAACCCGAAAGTATCATAATGATTTTCATTTATCTAACTACACTGCCTTGTTTTTCCCAACTTTCAGTAAATGTAACTACCACTTCTAAAATTGGATCAAGATGCCGCTGTTTTCAAACCTACTCACTAAAGCTAAACCTTGAGCTTTGTATTTGACACCTTCCCCAATGACATACAAACATGTTTCATAACACTTTAGATAATTTCCAGTGAAAGCTGAGTCCAAGGTGTTTTATTCTCTATGCTTCTCTCTAACCCTATAACAGCCTGGTCTTGCAATCCTCCAAGCCCTGCTCTTCTCTTCTGCTCATGTTGCAAAATTTTTTAAGGACTGCAGTATATGAGCCAAACATAGTCTGAACTTTCCTCCCTGCCTGTTAGGATTGGGGTACTATCTCTACCTGTTCCCCACCAGCTTTGCCCATTCCTGAGAGGATTTTTTAGGTCTGCCCTGAAATAACTTAAAGGCTGCTGCTGATGTGCCTCCTTGGCGTTCATGACCAGAGTCTATCTCCTGCCTTTTCTCCCCTTCCTCAATTGCTTTTAGTTATTAGGTATAACTAGGGAGCTTGTTAGTCTGGTATTTGCAGTCTAACATCTTCTGCTAATCCAGTATGGTTTAGCAAGATTTATTAATGTGTAAGACAACTTTCCAAAATCATTTTATAACCTTTCTGGGTTTTGTGTTTTTTCTGTTGTATAGCCCATTGATCAAGAATCAAATTCTATTGAAAAATCAATAGCTCAACTGTTTCTACATTTTCAAACACACAGCTGCCATTAATAACTTAATTAATAATTAGACATGTAGGACATGCATGGTTGCACTGAAATGTTAAAAGAAAAGTATGAATGCTGAATGGAGCAAGTAACAGCTTTGACATCAGCTTCAAGAATAACAAGATATTCCCAAAGCAAAGAAGAGAAACCATGTAATTTCTCTTGCCTGTCCACGACTCCTTTTTCTCATGAACCTACCACTTCAGTGTCAGAGACTCTGGCAAAAGCAATTAAACATACATTCAGTTTTGTACAATAGATCGACCCAACTTTTACATCACAGATATAAATGAATCTAATTTCTGTCACTACAGTTTAACAGCTTAATGACCTGTAAAGGCAGAAACATCAGTTTCTTTCCTTTCATGCATGTTGTTCTGTTTCTATTTAGGTATCTTTGTATGCTTCCCCTGGTACATCTCCCACCCACATTTACTGCTTTCTCTCAGTCCTCTATCTGCAAGCTTCCCTACCCCCCCCCACCCCAGGATGTATTTCTAGCAGTTGGGTTCTCTACTACACAGATCATCCCTCCTTATTCTGTGAAATAGCAAGCCAACCACGTAGACATAACTGAGGCTACACTGAAAGAAAAAAGTCATTTGCTATTAAAAAAACCCCCCACCTCCACCACAAACGGACTTCGATGCCTCTAATTTAGTGGCATATACCATAACGTACATACGTAAACCAACACTAAAAAGCAGAGCTATTCAAGAAAAGTAGTTTTCATACTTAAAATTATATTAATGTATACTTGCAAGATTCTAATCTGATTAAAAATCTTTCACCATAATACTGCTTACGCAGTGATTCTGAAATATTTATGAGTATGACACTATTCCAGGACATTGTAGAAACAAAACATACAAATGTGCTCTTAAAAAATATTTTCCTCCTTAAGCACATTTCCAACATCTAACCCTTTTTTAAAAGCTTGACTATTTATTCATCTGTCTACAGAAAAGTACATGTTATATAGTGGTTCATATTCTTTAGACAGTAGCTAAGTATTTGTGGACAGTATAGATAAGCACAATTTAAAGAATTTCCATCTGCTTCTCTCATTGTTACAGATAAAGAAAATGGCATCAAAGTGTACCAAAGGTGCAAATACCCTGAATTCTTGTACTTATTTTTTGCACTAGAGAGATAACTTGGGAAATGCTTTTCTAACACCAGTCATTTCATACATGTAAAGCTGAAGCTATTTCCTTCTACCTCAGCATCTCATTTGGAGAAGGTGTGTTCACCTCCGTCGCTGCTCACAGGTCACTTAAACTTTGGGAACACAGACCTCCTGCCACGTAACCTTGCTGTACCTCTGCTGTACATACATTCACCTAGTTTATTTTCTTTCTCTCTTTGTAATTTTTTTGACAACTTCACAAATCTGACCACTTTTTATACTGCAGTTTCCCCACCACACATTAACTACAAGGGACAAAATCGAATCCTGCTTCTTTGATGGGTAGTTTCATTTCAACATCAGATTTTGAATTCTTACCATGGTCTGTAAGTTCAGACACGCAGAACTGACTTGGCTCATTTCCACTTCGTTCATCATATTCTATGGACACATACTCGCATGTAATGACTGGCTGAGAATGAAATAAGGGTTTTGAAGTCCGCTCATCAGATTCCTTAGTCGAACAAAGCAGCATGGAGAACAGGTACAGTTAGAGCTTTCAGTAGGATCACAATACAATGGTTGTCCCAATCTACACAGCTGCTGGGACTTGTACAAGGCAAATAGTGAAAAAAACCTTTTTTTTTAAATGACCAGTAGTGACTGAGCCATAAGCAGAGACAGATTTAACAAATTATTTTTCTCCAGATACAATGGGAAATAGAAACTCAACTGCATGTGAAAGAAAAGGTAGAAGACAAAGCACTAGCCAGAATCTCATTATTTCTGTGATGCTTTCACTGACTATTTCCAAACTGACACCATTCTCTCTTCTGTAAGACATAGTGCTAGAATTGAACAGGCCTATCCTCTGTTGCAGATAGCTTAAAAGCAAAGGACAGCTTACACTGGGAGTCATTCCAAGACTTCATTCTTACTAAAAAGCCTGTTAAAATGTTAATATTCTTAACTAATCAAATGAAAAGAACCCACAGGCATGCCAATTTAGAGTGTTTAAAGGATTGCAATTCTAAACTTATCTTGAAAATGATGTATTTTGAACTCTGATGTCACACAGACTGTCAGTAAGTACATTTCAGAGAGCAGATTTAGATTTAAGGGTGACTTGATAAAAGAGAATTATGCAATGAATAGAGAGTTTATCAAACCATATCTGAATAACTGAATGCACTTTCTCTCATCACAGATCCACAGGTTCAGCTAAGCAGTTCAGATTTTGATGCACTTCCAAATTATTAGTCTTAGAACAGGACTGTGCCTCTAACACAAAAGAAAGCATGTGGGAAACAGAAAAGTGTTGTACACTACATGTGCAGAAACGCGGTCTCCGAAACAACAGCCCGTACTTACATGTAGGACATTGACATCCAGCTGCTGAAAATTACGGGCCCTGAATTCTTGCATTCTTTTGATATTTTCTTGGTATTTTTCTTCTGCTAGCTGTCTGTAAGTACAGAATACTTGTGTTTAGGATGTAATATCAGGGATTGCACAAAGGGATCTTCTAGAAATAGATATGGAAAAGCAGATTCCATCACCAGACTGCCATGATGCCCCACATTCATGGAATCTACTCAATTGATGTTAGTTTTAGTGAACTGACAAAGAGACTTCAGGCCTTATTTCCAAACACTATTATATTATTCTTTCACAGCCTGCATAATATAATTGAGAAACAGTAAATTACTAGTCTCAGTCTTTGCTGTTTCTTCCAAAGATCTTAAATACTTTGGACTTCATTCCACCATGTAGTGCAGGGACCTTTCAGCTGGAGATAGACACGCAACATCTGCGTGCTATGAACACTTCACCTGAGGGAGAGCTGGTAACTGCATTTTTCTGTATGGAACTACTTAACCCAGATGGCACATTAAGCAGCTCTTCCAGTTTCCAGTACTGTATTTCCTTCCCATTCATCTCTAGATCCGCACTGCTGAAAGCACATCTCCTGTCTGAGAAGGTACAGGTTTTGCACTGTTTCAAATACTTTCAAAGAGAATCAGCTGGCAATAACCCAGCACTGAATACAGATACATTTTAAAGATTCGTGACTGAGAATAAGATTTGAGGATTAATATGTTGCCATTATCTGACAAAACAAATACATTTCATTTTGTTGCTGCGGGAAAAAAGAATCCTGAAAATCTAAACAGAAAACTCTGAAGAGCAGGAAAGTAAAGAAAATCACAAGCAAACTAGAACCCCCCTGCCATTAGTGTTCTTTCCTAATCTCCGTTCAGTTTAAAAAAGTGCGACAGATTTCCTATTTATAAATTTCATAAAAGTACAAAAATTGGCCTATCATTGAAAACACCATGCAGAAGAGGTGTTAAATTTATACAGTGGTCTCAATTCAAGGAGACTTTTTTTTTAAATGAGAATAAATTTACATACCATCTCCAGTATCAAATACAATGGTAAGCATCAGACAGACGTACATGCAGATCAGATGTATTTTCCAAAAGGAGATGAAGGCCTTCAGATTTTTGTTTGTAGCCTTTGGGTATGGGCATCACAAGTTGGCATAATTAATGCTAGGATGTGAATTCACTGAGCATTTTCACTCAGCTGCAGTTACCATTGATTTGCACGTATGTGTAGCTGCAGAGTTTCTGAGTTCATAAATTCAGATTTCATGTAACCTTGCAATATTTTTGTGTACTAGGACATCACTGCCTTACTGAATCGCTACCTTGCTTTGGCACGACAGGGATAAGGTGCCAATTCTCATGATCAAAAATAATTATTCCCTCTATTACCCTCTGTAAATCACTGAGTAAACATTTGTTAATTTATATTGCGATTTGCAAAATGCTTATGAAGAAAGAATTAAAAATGAATGTGGTGCTTTTCCAATTTTCATTCATACCAAATAAAACATTGAATATTTTTAACTGGGAAAAACTCAAGCCTGCCATCAGAACAGTATATTTTTTTTTTTTTTTTTATTAAAAAGGAATCCACACATAGACACATAGCCTCCCAGCTGTTTCTCATATTCTACTCAGAAATGGTACTTATTTTCCTTCAAATCCCTCCTTTTATTATATCTTGCTCACTTAATAAAAAAAAACATAAATCATAAAGCCTTTGTAACATGTCCATTACCCCCATTTGATCATTTGATAAGACTGTCCTCTGAGCTATTAACTTCTATTGGCAAATCTCTTAGGCCAAAAGAATTACAAAAGCTGGATTGTAACTGAATGTCCAGCTCCTCAGATGGTGTAATCCTTAAAACGACAAGTCATAAAAAAAAAAATCTCCTGTTGTAACACATCTGAGAATCTCTCATATACTTATTTAACCAAACACAGCGCTCAAAGTACCAGTTTTGGGCTAATATTCTGCCTTTTTTTTTCTACATAAATAATTATTGTGATCTAACTCATCCAAAATCCCCATTCACTTTGAGTAGCTGGAGACCCTTTCCATTTTTATTTTCACCTTGACAGTTCTAACTCTCTCGTTAGACTGTTGGATGGGGAAAACTGCATGGTTAGGGCACGATGCTACTGTTACGCTCAACTTACTTCAACTTCTTTGCTTTCTCATCTGCAGCATTTAACTTCCTCAGCCTCATTCGCTCCCGCGGTGTCATTTTCTGTACTTCAGACAGTTCCTGCAGAGTTTGCAAATGAACTTTCCTCTGCCTGAAATTGAATGCATGCAAATCCATCTTCATATAAAAATGTAAATATCAGTATTTTGATTTGATATTGAAACATACTGACATTTCAAATGGAGTAATTAGAAAGTCACAGGTACTATAACAGACTAAATAGACCTTTGTTTGGAAAGCAAATGCCTCTCTTAAATTGAAACACTTAGACTTAGATTAATGAAGAATGTGAATCATTTCAGGTGAGAATGGAAACAGGTAAACTCAGCTCCTTAAAAGAAGAAATGTTGAAGCACAGTGAAATATTTATCCTGTCCGGCTTCATTACTGAGCATATTCCAAGTATAAAGGCAGTTTTTAAGTGAGAACCACAGGAAAAAGCAGTATCACCCATACATTTTACACTGATTGTTACAAGCTGTCTAGAATAAAAGAGAATATTAATGTGTCTTTAATGACAGTTATAATTATCATGTTGTCCTCCTGAATTTCTAGTCCTAATCAATAATAACAGTTCACCAGTAAAGTGGTCTCCACAGACCACCTCTGAAAGCTGAGCATGAATTATTGACATATGTATCTCAGCTGTATTTATCAACATGGGAGAGCAATATTAGTCCTATATGAGGAAAAGGATATTAATCCTAGATTTTTGTCTCTCATCCTACAGTAATTACAAATATTAAACCACAGTTTGCAATGCCTTGGCAATCACATTTCACTTACATCACTTTTTCTATTGTTTATATTTATGATACCAAGTATTCATTTCAAATTACTGTTTTTGCTCTTATGAGATGAATTCACTCCTGATCATCTAAGGGCCTAGTTTTGTAACCATATAAATTGCAACAATCTTTCTGGACTATCATTTTGAGATCAGGATTTTAATAAACGAGAAGAGAAATTTTCATTATGCTTTTCAAATGTTGACTATAGATGGAAATAGTGTAAAGATATGCTATTAGTGTGAAATATAAAAGACTAAGGACAAAGACAAGAGGAGCTCAATTATTCATAGGAATGGAAGTAACTCTTCAAGTATGAATAATGTATACATACTTCTTTTTCCCTGTAAAAAACTCTAATTTAAATTATAAGAACCTCTTGGGAAAAAAAGCCATTTTTCATCCAAGTTGAAACTGAACTTGTACAGCTTTATGCTTACTTAAATATTTAAAATTTATGACTTGCATGGGACTGGAATAAAGTAAGCCATTAGAGGCCTTTACTAGAAGCAACTAGACTCAACTATACATGGCAAAAATAAATCCTATTGAGAAAAAAAAATCATAAACATAAAGTAGCAATGATTGGGGAGGACGCCATAACGAGCAGCTTCTTGTACGCTCACTCAGACTTGAGTATTGCTTCATTACAGCAGATGTGGGAAATTCACTACATTTAAATTATTTCTCCTCCACTTTTCTGCTCTCTCCCATTTTTCACATATTTTTATTTCATTTTACCTACAACTCTAGATCTGGGATTGCAGAAATTATTTGGCATTTTGCTTACCAGTAGCAATACAGGCAGCTAACATTCTCATAATTACAACGAAAGTCATAACAACATTAAGACTTTATGCATATTCCAAACACTTAGCCAAAAAGAATCAGACTGCGACACATTTGAAGAAAATTTATGGTGAAGTTTCTCCTAGGATTTTTTTTTCTCAAATTGATGACCTGAATTTGAAAACCTCAAGGTAAATTTCCATGCTCAAACAGAACAGTTGCCATCCACTGATCCACAATTTTTAGGACCTCTGGACCTCTTCACAGAAGCAGCTGACCTTGTATTTCCTTTTAACAAAAGTAGAAGAGCATGATGTTTGTAGTTAGAACTTGATCCTCATCTTAAAGACTACAGACTTGCCTTTGAACAAGAATTGTTACAGATTCTGGGATATACATGAATGTCCTCCCCATATGCTAGCTCTGTCAATATATGATGTCCGTTTGGAAGGTGATAAGACTCAATATATTCAAACTAAAGACAATGGAACAGCGATGGAACAGTACATGTTACAAATAATAGAAAGTGATTTTATCAGTCTGTTCTAGAAGCATGGGGATTATTTGAAGTCTAGGTACGTATTTTGCAGGTGAAAATATTGCTTCCTCAAAGCATCTAATACCTTTTGGTACATACAGATGACTTTAAATCCTGTACCCACAAAAAACCAGGCACGGATTAAAAGTTTCTGCAGGATTCTCATACTTCATGTTTTAATAAGCATTTAGCTCTCAGCGTAATTCAGACAGAGTTGGCATAATATCTGGGCAAGGTTTCAGTGCCCTAAAGCTGTTTATGGTGTATCTCTGAGGAACATCTCTGCAGTTAACTGTATTTCATTTGAAGAGGCAGGAAACCAATCAGACTTAATTGAATCAACTCGAATACAGCAGCCACAGGCAAAAGACACATCTAATATTTCCCAGCTAGTGCGTATCTACCTGTCTGACTCTTGAATTTCCAGTGTGCTAGCAAAGGGTTATTTCTAACAGAAGCAATCATGTAGGCTGGTAAGAAGGCCAAAAACTGACAGCAGTCTCAGCCAGCTCCATTTGCTGTTATTTATTAGATAGTTGTGACTAGCCAATACAGGTACCACTTGTTGCATTTTACATCTATGCCTACAAAGTTCAACAGCTTCTTTATACTAAAGTAACCTATTTATATCAAAACAGAGAACTTTGGTCTGATAAAAAGACAGAGACTCATCTGTCAACGAGAGAAAGAACAGAAGTGACAGGGTGGAAACCCAAACCGCAATTTCTAGAGATAAGAGCTTTACAGATACGCTCCCCATAGTTAAACTGGGTAAAAAAAGAAGTACAGAAGATTTTGCTGTGTTGAATTCCACCATCTTTGTTCTGCTTTCTTCCTGCCACTGAAACTAAATAACACTTTCTTCAGAAAAGCTGAAGCTGGTCACCTCTCCAGAAGTGATGCTTGCAAGCCACAGAATTGGCAGCATCTGCAAAGTGACCAAAGCTGCAAAACTGCGGCTCCTCTCCAAGAGCAGAGGTCAAAGAAATGGAGAGGCCTAGAGCCCAAAGGCACTGCTAATTCTGGATTGGAGCATCGACTTCCTTATTGCTCTTACCTAATAATTCAAAAGAAATTTCAGAGATCTGTTAAAGTCCTGACAGATATGTAGAAGAGAGGAAACATGAAGCAGGGATGCCCATTGCATCCACACAGGATCACAAACTCCTGATTTTGAGTGTGCTAGCTCCTGACAGAGTAAAACCACGTACAGAGAACTCAGGGACAGGAAGCAAAGGGGAGGGCCAGCTGCCATCAAAACTGCAGAGCCAATTTACAAAGGCAAGATGAAATTGCATATGTTGGCATTTGCTTTAATCACTGCAAGATTATAATTTAATGCAATTAATTAATTTAATATATATTCAGTGCCTAAATGAAAGATCGTGTGCGAAGGCACTACTGATGTAAGAACCATGAAACATCCCTAGCCTTAATTTCTCACCATAGTTACAAGACAGATATAATAGTATCCTACAGACATATTAGCTGAATATTAGTTTAAGTGTATACACTTTTAGTTCAGTGTCATTTAGGAAACATAGCTTTCACATTCAGTAATTAGTAGGTATGCAAACAACAGCACTATAAATGATCGTGACATAATTACAACGATGATCTAAAGACAAAGGTCATAATTTACACACTAATTGGTACTAAATTAGCATATGTATATACTGCACATGCGTGCACAATTTACATCATTATATATTAAAAATATTTGAACTGCAGATCTCTTTTATTTTCCCCTAAATTTTAATTATGCATCTCACTAATGTGGTCGCTTTTCTGTATTTTGGTGGAATGGGTCCCTCTAAACATAAAGCACTGTGATATTAACACAAATGCTTACAAAACGATATATAATTTCATACACTGTTGCCCATAAAAATACTTACACAGCGTCAAAAATGGGAGCAGCTTCTTTCTGCCAGTTAAGCACCTTGTCTTTCACAGTCATGTTTGTGAAGTTGTACTGCAAGGAAATAAAATATAAATGGTATCAACACTTGAGGCTAAAGTGATCCAGACTCCTCAGCTATGACCCAATACGGTCCTAATGTAAAAACTGACTGAGCAGTTTCCTTCCCCACCTTCTCAGAAAGCCAAATATATGCACTGAAGCAGGGACCAAAAGAGCAAGATGCACTGTTTTTCATTAAAACTATGACTAACCAGAACAGTTTAGAGATTATATGCACCCAGGCCCAAATGATCTGCACTTGTCACAAATAAATGCCCATTCTCCTTAGTGCTCGTAACATTTAAAAGGGGATACATTCAGCACATAAAGTGACAAGGGATTCATTTCTCACTGCCTCACTACCTCAGTCATATTTATAATTTAGCTCTGAAAGTTCCCTAGATTAATGTTCCCATGAGCTGCTGGTTTTTTTTTTTCCAAAACATTTTCTCTGCCTCCACTCTGCTTTTGCATAGTACCTGCTCAAATGGTAAGTACACAGCTATTGCCTTTTCTTATATACCTTTAATTGTTCGTCAATATAAGGGATTTTTAGGATCTCTGCTGCTGCTGGTCTCAGTGAAGGATTCTTATTTAACATGCTGAAACATTAAAAAAGACATAATTAAGTGATTTTCCAAATTAACTTAAAAACCTGCTAAGCAAGAAAATAACATACCTGCACAGCACAGCATTCAGTTTGCTTGGATATCTATCAGGAAGAGAAGGTGTATCACCTTCTACAATTTTTAACATAACAGACAAAAAATTGTGTCCAGTAAATGCATGGTTCATACAGCACATTTCATATAAAATGCATCCCACGGACCTTGAAGAACAAAATAACAGGAACAGTATAAACAATAGTTTTGAAAGTATCATTCACAGTGACATTTCAGTAAGTAAAATTACAATTTTATGCCCTTTTCTCCTGGGACTAGGGTATTTAATTATTATGCTATCCTTTTCATCTGAAATATTTTCATTCAGATCACATTATTAACTTTATAAACAGCAGAAATCATCATTCTATTTCCACTAGTGCAGGCACAAATCTAAATTCTATGCGTGTATGTATAAATACATACATATGAATAAAGTAAAACCACATTGTATGAACCATCTTTTAAGTCGTTACTCGTTAAGTAAAGAATGAAGTATTTCAATTAGTGACTGACTGACAAAGTAGTTTAGTAGTGTTTGGACACAGATTTGTTTCAACTGGTTTTGCAAATTAATTTCTGACAACCAACTGAGGCTAAAATTCAAGTTCAAATTAAATAATGCCAGTTTCAAATAACAGAAGTGTCTTCTGGTCTGATTTCATTCATTTGGCCACATATTCCAAACATTCCAAAACTGGTTTGGACTCAAAGAATTATCAAATTTTAGATGACAGCATCATATTGCAACACCTAAAACTAAATTTCCTCAAAATTTTATTTGGAGAAGAAAAGAAGAAAACTGAACATTGAGGTCTGGAGACCTAGCTGAGAACCAGTGTGAGTTTTAAATCATTAAAAACTGGAAGGAATGATTACAAACAAGGAATTTTAAAATTCCTCTGGTTTACCATCACCTTATTTATCAGGGTCTTATTTACCAGTTCTTATGGAGATCATAAAAGATCACCAAGTCAAACATTTTAACATAAACACTCTCATAATAATTTATAAAATGACTATTCATAACAGTTTGCACTTCAACTGGGTTCTGTCTGGCAAATGTTTTTTAAAAAATAGGGGAGCTGAGATTTCCAGGCTTTGGAGGATGCTCAGCGTTACCTCCAGTTTGCAGTCAGGAGAACTGAGGTACTGATGTATGACTTGATCAAGGTCATAGAAAATGCTGGTGAGAGCCAGCTACAGGAGCAGACCCACCTAAGTAACCAGCTTAAATATCAGAGCAACTTTACTTTTAATGTAGTATTTGATTGTGGTATTTCTAATTTACAGAAGCAGTATGAAAATAAAGCATAGTCAGAATAAGTAGAAGTACGTATAGGTGAATGGCTTTGATGAGAAGGGTAGAAATGTTATCTTTGAAAGCAAATCATGAATAAAGTTTCAATTATTCATTTTGGCTAAAGAAGACAAATCTATTCAGTCTATCTGGATATAAAAGAAGAAGAGCAAATAACTTTAAAGCTGAAATCCAGGCTCTATGTACAATGCAAATAAGGAAGAGGAGGGAGAAGGGGGGGGGGGGTGGTTTGCTCACTGGCACTTTTCAAGCAGTATGTGAAAGCAATTATCAGAACATTTTTGCTAACTGCATAAAGACCACCTACTAAGGTACATAAATAATTGTCTAATTTTAAGACTTAACTGTCAACCAGCTTTCAACTTCCAAAATCAGTAAGCAGTAACACACAGATGATCTATATTTATGATGTATGTTCAAACTCTGAAACAAGGTATATTACTACATAAGAAAATGCTTAAAAGCAAAAAGAACAAGAAAAAAAACCCTGCACACATGGCATCTGCAAGCATCACACAAAAATGGAAACCAGCCAGAGTGAAGAAAAAAGGAAGGAAAATCCCAACCTGACAGACTGTACTATAAATGCTTTTTGCAAAATCAATCTGTTTTGGAGGCTGCTTGATTCTGGCAGCTAGAAATTGCTTAATGAGCCATTAGCAGCACAGGATTTGCCACATCAGGGAAGCCCATTTATTCATCTAGTTAGTACTCTCACTACACCTGAGGCTTTGGAGGAAGACGAAAAGAACACCCAGGGCATTCTGCTGCATCCAGGGCCATGAACAGGCTACCCAGGGAAAACCCCATCTGTCCCATGAAAGAAAAATACGGGAAAAAAAAATAAAAGAAAAATGAGAGAAAAAGAATAAAGTTTTCACTGCAGGATATAAGTCTTTGATATGAAATAAATACCTCCTAAGCTGAGAAATGCTGCCCTAGGTCCCAGAGCAAGGCTATGTCTTCCCAGGACATCAGCTGAGCTGCGGTTGCCCGAGGGAGTTATCGCCAAGCTTTTGCCTCAGGAATGCATTTCTCAGTTGTGTTTCAACAGTCCTGGTCTAAGCATCTTGTAAGGACATACTCAGCAAGAGAAAATTGCTTCCTGATTCCCATAAGCAATCTACACATGACTGAAACATATAATTTAATTACTTTTATAATCTTAGCTTGTAGAACTGCCAGTGTTATAAAACTCTAAAATGGTCATTAAGCTATCCAGCCAGAGCATTTGGGTTGACGGCTCCCTGTGTTCGTGAACAGGTTTGACAAAGGTCCTAAACAGCACTTCCTTTCAGCAAAACTGATGCATGACCATTTCACATCGAAGCCGCTTTACTCAATTCTACCATAAAAAGGAGCATCTGGACAGGCTGCAGTGTATTCTCTACCATATTGACTGCCAGACCTCCAACCTCCCCTTCTCAGGAGAAACTGCCCTGAGGTGTTTGGTGCTACTTGTTTACGTAAGCACTGCTGTCCTTTTAAGATCTTCTGATCTTTTGTATGTTACAGTCCTTCAAAGGCTGTAAGCTCCAAGTTAGCTTTTAAATTAAACTTCAAAAGCCAGATAATCTAAACACATATCACTTTGTGGCTTTTGTCTCTCAGTCTGATCGTACCAGAAGGTCTTAAGAACTTGCTGTCTCCAGAGTCTATGGAAGAGTCCAGTGGAATGTGTACATGCACACATGTACCATCACAACTCTTTCAGCTACTCCTTTTCAGGTCTTCAATGCTTTTGCTGCTATTTTTGGTAACTATTCTACATAAAACTTGACAGTAAAAAAAAAAAATCTATTTTTGGATTGTTAATATTAAAGAAAAAGACAAATCGAGGGAAAAGCACAGACAAGCAAGCATAATTAAAATGAAAGTCCCATGATCTGTGGTCTAGGAAGCCCAATTCACCCAAACCAAACAGACAAACAGTCTGTCAAAATCTGACAGTACTTGATGGAAGTGGATTTAAATGTGACTGTAACGTTGTTTTGTCTCTGGAAGACAAAAAAGGAAGTTATTTTTATCTGTCTTGTAAAGGATTTGCTAAGTCTGTAAGTGAAAAAAAGCATTTGTTTTTTAACTAAATTATTTCTGTTATCATTTCTGCCTCTGAGATAATTTATAACATATGCTATGCACAAATCCTTTGAAAAGTTCCTGGATGGCATTTGTCTCATAGCTTTGAAAAGAAGAGAGAAATATTCTTGCTGATAAAAGTTTGCATGCACTTTATCTCATCCAGTCAGATGCAAAACACGACACAGTTACAACAGCCACTGCATGGAGAGGCACTCAGTATTTACACTCAAGGACCTATACTGATCCTTGGCAGACTCCCAGCCAGTACAGATTTCGGAGTCTCATCGGAGCAACGCCAAGCTCTCACAGTTAGAAAACCTGAATAAAACTGTGGGTGAAATACAGGCTAACTTCTAGTTGCAGGCAAATCATGGTAACGTTACTCTGGAGCTGAACAGGGAGATCATTTCAGCTGAGATGGGCAAGAGGATGCTCGATTCCTAGTATGAAAAAATCAGAACCTAAACTCGTTAGGAGCCCTTGTTGCCAAGGGAATCCCAGTTTTCTGGAACAAAAGAGATCTCTGGGGAAGATACAACAGCACCCTTTAGGTTTAGGACCATTTGCAGGAGTTACCATTGACCTATTTGGTAAGTCTGGGCTTTCTAGTTTGAATGAAGATAACGGAAAGTACAAAGGTGTCCCTGTTGTTCAGAAAACCTCAGACAAAAAGTTAGCACTCACCTAATGCATTAATGAGTAGTCACAGCTGTCCTGAATGCACTAAGTACCTGCTTTAAGTTTACTCTTCCCTGGAAAGAAATGTTTGCGTTTTGTTCGAATAGTTCCATGAATTAGAGGATGATGATTCTTCGAGCATGACAATTCTTCTCAGCCTAATGTCACAAAGCCCAAATCTGGTTGGGCAGGAGTTACTATTTTTTGTCATTGCATGGACTGAAATAAAAGCTGATTAAAAATGTTACTTTTTTGGTAGACTTACATGTAAAACCCCTGAATCTCCAATTGTGTTCTTAATAACATGGCTGACAGGTCTCCATCTGCATTTGCTGGTGCTGGGACACCTGTTCTGTCATGATTCTTCAGTCTTAGTTGGATGACACTAACATAATCTGGGTAGATTCTGATCCACTATTTTCCACAAACAGCATTTTAAAAACAACCTTCCCAAACAACAAAATAAAACCCACACATGCCTTGCAAAAAAAAAAAAGAACTAATAAGCTAAAACAGCCTCAGGCCAAAGGATCTAATATGTACACCTAGCACATGTGGTTGTATCAGAGGGGATGATCATCATACGTATTGTGTCCCTGTAAGTAGAGAGATGGTCAGGCATTTTCCAGTGAAACACCGTTTTACTGGAACATGAACTTTAGATAAACAAGAAGTCAGGAGGCTTTGTCAGCCAGAGTTTTGACAAAACTTTCACCTGGAAGGGTTGGAAAATAACCAAGCTGCTCCTCCTGGACAGGAGAAGTTCAGACCAAGGTCTCTGCTCTGGTTGATTCAGACCAGAAATGCTAACTTTGGTCGCTCACAGCACTGGCGACCATCTGAACCACCAGGATACCGGTTATTTCACACGGCTCCCTCTGCATTCTGTTTTCTGTAAATTATAAAATGCTCACTGTCCCAGAAAAGCAGATTGCAACCGTGTGTCACCATGTGACTTCACTTTCCTGACCCTAAGAAATGCCTTAAAATGACACATAGAGTCTTCAGTTTGCTTGACACGTGAAGGCAGTGCTATAGCACTATAGGCATGGGAATGCCAGCCGACCCCCAAGACCACTGCCGGTCCCACCATGTGTTGTGTAAGGCCAGGAAGGGTCACCAGGACTCCGGCACTGCGGTGCCTCTGGGTCACACTGCGCTCATGTAAAAGTGAGCCCCAGCTGCCAAATGTACGCACACACATCACTTGCTAATCCTCCACCCGTCCTGGCCTCCCCAGCTAGTCACTGTCTCCGCTCACGCTGACTGCCGGCGCTGCACTGACTCTTCTCCGTCTGACGGCTCATTAGGGGCAAGCGAAGCACCAACGGGCAAGAGGGGTTGGTGAGCTGCTGAACTGGGACCAGCTCCCCAAGAAATCTCTTTGCCTGGGAAGGAGGAAACCCCAGACTGTGTCATCTGCAAAGGCTTTTACTTACTGCCTGGCCAGTCCAGCCTCAGGGACGCTAAGGAAAACAGAGATGGCAATTTTAATTTGCCTCCTGTGAATTAAGATTTGGCATAAACAAGGCGCAATGGTTTTAAACTAAAAGAGGGCAGATTTAGGCTGGATATAAGGAAGAAATTTTTTACACTGAGGGTGGTGAAATACTGGAACAGGTTGCCCAGAGAGGTGGTAGATGCCCCATTCCTGGAAACATTCAAGGTCAGGTTGAACGGGGCTCTGAGCAACCTGGTCTAGTTGAAGATGTCCCTGCTCACTGCAGGGGGGTTGGACTAGATGACCTTTAAAGGTCTCTTCCAACCCAAACTCTTCTATGATTCTATGAAACATGGAATAGCAAAGAACTCCAGCCCTGAAATTTTAAATGAGGACAAACATAAACACTGCAGCTTCTCTGAGTCTAATTGCAGAACTTCTGTACATAAAAATCGTAAAACATGAGGCTATTTCCCATCTATTGACCTTGGGTTATAAAGAACGATACTTCTTGCACCTGCTGCTGCACTGTGAATATTCAAGACAGTTTTGAAGAGTGAGTTGCAGAACGTTTCAGTGAACCTGAAAAGCACAATGTCTCTTTAGAGAACATCATTAACACAGCGTAAATTAAGGTCTTTCCAGTGAACAATGATTAGGTGGACTGAACAGTGAGAGAACCATGATAACTTAGCAAGATAGCAATAACTGCCTTTTCTAGAAGACATTTTACATTTTCTCAAATTTAATATGGGAACACTTATAATTCTGAATTTTTGTGTGTAATATGTTGAGTCCTGCTAGACATTAGAAGGACAAGTCTGAAGAGAGAAGGTCACTTCAGATATGCATACAAGACTTGGGCAGCATCTTCATGAGCAACTGAACTTCCTGCAAAGTGACACAAGGATTTCATCTCACCTGGAGCCTCCAGTGTGGGCTCCCCTGGGTGCTCAGGGACCACTCGTCTTTTGGCCCCTGTTAAATGGGGCAAACACAAAAAAATCAAACAGAATCATCATTAAAAGATTAAAGGAAAAAGTGAAATGACCAAAGTACCAATTAAACATATGAGTCATGGTAGTTAACATGTCCTGATGAAAAGATAGTTTCTTGGCTCAGCAAGAGAAGGGTTTTGTGGGCTGAGGGTCTAGTGAGTCAGGTCACACCTCCTTCTTAGCTCCCCTACAGTGACGGCCAAGGAGCTCTTACTGAAGGCAGTTCCACCCTCAGATGAGTTCTCTGAGTACTGCTTTGGAAAGATTACAAAATACATAAAGTATAGCAGAAAGCTAATAGCTAGTGACTTGTTGTGGGGGCAGGGGGCTTTTTTTTCCTGCTTTTTTGTAAATTTTGAACGGGTGATCCACACATCACCTATAAAAATATTGGACCAAACTCTGCTTTCATTTACTCTGTACAACTTCAATGACTTATATGGATTGACACTTGTAACCACGAGTAGAACTTAAACCTCTATTTTACATTCCATTTCAACTGCAATAACAGAAATTATTCTTTGCAGTAAAAGAGCACAAAAGACAGGTTTCCCTGTCTATTCATTTGTTTTGGCATCTTTTTAAATCTTCTCTCAATATATTTTTGTTGACTACATGTATTAACTGATATTCATTTTGATACAGATGAACAAGAGAGAATCTGATATCGAATCCATCTCAGTTCAGCTACACAGATCATGAGATGAGATTCCTTACATGTTCACTGACTGGATTGAACATGCTAACTGTGAAAAATGGTTGCTACCAGTTGAAAGTATAGATGGTTGTTCTCGACTTTTAGAATTATATCCTGCAGTCACAAATATATTTTGAAAAGGCAGAACTGAGCAGAAGCTAGAGTAAATTATCAAGTAAACAAATTACTTCCCAGCAGTCAAATGTTTTACAATGGAAATTTCCTGATTTGAAATATGCATAAAAAAGGAATCTTCAGATAGGCACATCTACAGAAAAAAACATCTCTTAAAAGAAGTAACAAAGCCCATTTTATGTAAAAGTATTATGACACAATTAAAAAAATACAATAGTTTTAACTGTCATCTTAAAACACAACAAGATGTTTTAGGACACACATATAAACAAGCCAGATATTTTCCCCATTCCAAAAAATTGTTCTTCATCTTAGCTTGCAAGAGTACCTGTACACCTGAAAGCTTTTCTAAAGTCTTTCAACAGATCTCAGCTTCTCAGCTTGATTCTCTAATCATCACCTCAGAAGTTGTGATCTCAAGAATTTGTGCCATCTAAGTTCAGAACTGACACTTTCCTTTCTATCTTTGAGCCTTTTCTAAAACAGAGTGCCTTTTTGCTTCTGTCCTAACACTCTGGTTACTCTCATTTTCAGCTCCCCTTCCAAGTACCTTCTTTTTCACATTCTCCAACATTTTTCTGTTCAGTTCCTAAGAAGGTCCTTCTGCTTCGCTCTCAGCCAGGAATCCCTCTTTCCTTGTCCATTTGCAAATTTCACAGAAAGTTGCTTCTTTGCATTCATCTTGCTCATTTTGAGAATGAAAGAGATTTTCCCCTTCCTAGCAAAAACTGAACTTGGTCTACAATCATCCTGGGTCATGGCAGAGGCTGGACCTGAATCTTACTCTCCTTTGAACTCCCCAATAACCCAGAACAATAATAAACTGCATGCTTCTTAAATCAGAGAGAAAACACTCAGACTGCAGCATACAACACAAATGTCCTGAAATAGTTTTAGTGGAGTACTGTGAGCACCCTACCGAGGGAGCCATTTTTTAAGAAAAAAAAGTAGTTCCTAAATAAAGTCAAATGCTGACCTAGAAAATAAATGCCTAATTCAACTGAAATAGTGTGCTGACCACTCACCAAATGTCAGATTTTGTGTTATACCCCTGATGCTTCAGTGCCTCTGGACTCATGTAGTATGGTGTCCCAGTAAATGTAGTTGCCAGATCACATGAACCCATCAAAAGACGAGAAACTCCAAAGTCCCCTAAAAGTAACATCAGAAATAATAATCTATTTATATAAATCCTCTAAATCTGTATCTATTAATATAAACTCTTTGTGTTTATTGCTAGACACAATAAGATTACTGTACATCAAAAAACCTGCCAGAATTTTAAAATGTGGGAAAACCAATTTTCTCTAATTCTTCAAAATAAAACCACTAGAAAATCACAGAACTATAGAATGGTGTAGGTTTGAAGAGGCCTCACAAGGTCATCCGATTAAAACTGCTGTCTCAAAGCAAGGCCAACTTCAAAGTTATATGAGGCTGCTCAGATCCAGGTCCAGTCTTGCTTGGAGCACCCTCAAGGCTCAAGATTTCATTCCTTCTCTGGGCCCCTATTCCTGTGACTGACTGTCAAATACATATCTGACCACAAATCAAAATGCTACATCAGACATGACTTTATTTAAACCTCCTTCTCTACAAAATGTCTGCTAGAATGTTCTATCATGCTAAAATATATCTTTAAAAAGTATGGAAATCTCACCAATTTTCAGAAGATTATTTTTCAAAAATATATTCTTGGCTTTCAAATCTCTGTGAAGTATTCGCCTGGAATATAAAAGGAAATTCAATCTCATGCACCTTGAAGCATTCGGTGTCACATATCAAGTATCTCAAGCATTTGTCTTCATTCCTTGTTAGGAAGGCAAGCCCACCACTCTTATAGTCTAACCCTGCAAATGACAATTCAGAGACGATGGCATTATGGAGCTTCATACACACACAGAGGCGCATTCACAGACACCCACATGCAGGATGAGAGCCTAAGCAGCCAGGATAATAAAAATAGACCCAGGGATCCCAGCTTGTGAACACAGACACAGGCTTAACATGAGCTGCAGAGGAAGGGAGAAAGGCAAGCCTTCCTATCTGACTCTTCTTAAAAGCATTACATCTTATTTTCTGCCAAGAGGATGAGATGTCTCACAACAGAATAAGGGATGAGAAAAACAGCAATAAGAGATTCTCAAAGCTCAGAGAACTCTCCTTCAGAGAAAATGTATTACTTGAAAGACAAATATGTATACAGACTAGGCTAGTAGTTCAAATTTTTACAGTAATGGTGTGGAAGACAAAAGAAGTTTACAAAGACAGAGATCAAAAAGAAAATAAAAACAACAACTAGCTTTTAAGGACTTATTTTTCCATCAAAGATTGAAACAACATCATCAGCTACACACCATGTGGGGACAAATAGCATCTCCTCAACTTCATGAAATTTTAATGTGTGACAGTAATTCTCCAGCTCCTCAGGAAAATAAAATATCTCTACAGTATACAAAACATGTTTTCAATTAATTCTTGTTAGTAACGCTTCCAAAAGGGTTCCCTACAACCTCAATTAAACTAGGACTCATCCACTTTTAAATAGCTTGATAACATACAGTATTAGTTATCAGCTCTGCTCAGGAGGAGGTCAGAAAAGCATTTGGTACATACTGGTTACGGAAACCGTATTTGTTAATACAAATACAGTAGTTATTCAGCAATTTAGAACAGGTAAAGAAAGCAACTGATGATCTAAGATTCTTGAGATGTGGGCAGGAAAAACTAATATAGTAACAAATTTCAATTGTTCTTGAGCAATCGTCAAGTATTGTCTCAAATTCTATTGAATTATTAAAGTCTTATGCACTGACAAACTGAAATGATTTCCAAAACAGTTCCCATATTAAGACTAGAAAATAGGTATTCTACAGCACAATTTAAATAAGCAATTTAGCCCACAACTCATTTGGAAATACTTTTTTTGCAAGAAGAGAAAAAAATTATTATATTTAATATGCTCAGTTCAGAAATGCGAAAAAATGTGAAAAATAACTACTAGAAGACATTGTAATATGCACATAGACTGAGCATGAAAAGGAAACATTTCTATTTCTATGAAACAAAGAAAAAAGTTCTTTATGCTTCTTATGGCAATCTTTCCAGTTTTTGACCTGAAAGCAATGCTTGTAGAGAAAGGTTTGCACATTGGGAAAAATGAAATTTTTATTCAGTGTGCCTCCGCTGATGTTTATAAATAATTTGTTCTCTATTTGGCGACTTTCTTGAGCAATACGTGTACACTCATCATACATTACATCAGGAAGGAAATTCAGCTAAGGTGATATTCATTCTTACTTCATAAGCCTATGTATACACAGTTTTATATAAATCTTGCTCTGTTAATTCAGCTTTATAAAGTCTTTCCTTACCATTCATCCTTTGAAAGAACATGACTTCACCGAGTTAGATTTTTCTTGTATATTGTTGCAGAGTGTTGGTGGGTTTTAACTTTTTGGTTTTTATTACTTTGCAGAAATATAACCACAGACTCTTTGAACCTAAAAGTTTCCTGGATATTGTGGTCTGAGTAACAGCTATCTCGAAGTACAACAACTATCCAGAAAGCTTTCAATAGCATATTATTTGAAAAGGAGATGAAGAGAAGATGTTTGGGTCACATTAGTTTGCATTAGAATATAAAGTGCTAATATAAGCTTGCAATGTATTGATGAAAATGTAATGCAAATTATTTGCATTACCAATAATTATAAGATGCTTTTATGTATCAATATGACTAAGAAATACTTGGGATGATCCTTTGGAACTTCCCATGATGATGTCTCTCGATGCAGGCCACCTTATTCTGCCAGGATACGTCAGAAGATAAACGAGTTATAAGCTGAAACCTTAACTGAAACAACTACTTTAATTCTAGTAAGAAATAAATACTGAGCCTGCACCGTAAATCCAGTCTAAGAAAGTTTTGTGACTCTTTGTTGTAGCAAGAGACAGGACCTATCAAGGTAGCATGAATTAACGGGACTCCAGCACAACTTCATCTAACTTGACAATCAGTGAAGAGGTTATTGATATATTGGGTAGAAATTAACACTTACAGACAGTTTCAAATTTGGGCTATATATATACCCATACCTGTGTTCTATAGAATACCTCCTTGCTGTCTTATAGTCATGAAAAAGCAGCACGAAGCACTGAGCAGTGGGCAGCCTCCTTGCATAAAGTTTCCTCTGCAACCTACCAGCAAGTGAAGCTGATTGAAGCTGGAGTAGTTTACTGCTGTGAAATATTTAGCAATGAATTTCTTTTTCCTCTATCTGAAAAACTATTTAGAGAAGTAAGAATTTCTGGGCAAGTCTGAATCCTGTACTAGGGAAGACAACGTGAAATCCAGATTAAGTACTTGGGCAAAGCCAGCTATGCTGCAGATTGAAAGTAACAGATTTGTTTGCATAAATGGTAACCATATAAAAATTTCTGTGTTGGCATTTTGTTCATAAAGACTAGCAAAGTGATGGATAACATAATGATCAGCTTTATTCAAACTGAGGTTAAATTAATCAATGGCCTCATTGCCTGATTGCTGTGGGATCCATTTTGTGCACTGATGTGCAATGGACTACAAGTATGCCAAAGAGAGTAGATGAATGTTTCATGCTGTCTCCATCTAGATAAGACCACTGAACTATGTTGCCTCTCCTTTACTTCTCTCTCTGGTTATATCAATGACAGATGAGGACTGAATCTATTTAATTCTAGATAATTCAGCTTTCAAGTTTAAAATTAAAATATCCTCCCAGTTATGCAAAATACCAGTAGACAGCATAACAACCACAAGATATTCATGCCCCCTTTGGGATTTATGAAGCACAAGTAAAAGACAGGAATGTCTAATTTGTATAATCTTTATCATCATACGAAAAGAACAACAATCTGAGGCAGCAAAAGAGTTCTATTTTAAAATAAGTTTCCAGCATAAGACTTCTCAAAAAGTGCAGAAGTTCAACTAAATCTGTGCAAGAATGACAATCAAGTGAATAGTCTGTGTCTAAACCTAGAAATAATAATTTTTTCTGCTCTGGAATAAAAACTCCCATCCACAGCAGCTGGATTTTTTAAGGAATGGCATGAGGAAGTCCAACCCACAGGTAATGAACACTTCAAGCTTCCAAATTTTTTTTAATTCTAAGTTTTCTTTGCATTAAAACACAGTTCAGACATATATTCCAGCTTTTCCATATCAGTAGAGAAAAAATCATGTATGACTCCTCTACACACAGAGGGCTGTTATTTTGTTTCAGTAATTCAAATTAACTTCTGTAGGTAGTTTTAAATTCTTTTAAGCCTAACCTTTTCCATTTAAGCTATTGCTTGGCTCTAAACAAGTAAGATAAAGATTAAAGTTTCTAATGTGCCTACAGTCAAATAACACATAATACAATACAGGAAAGGCAAATAAAAATAAAACTGTCAAGTCATTTGTATGTGTCTGGAGAGGTGCTATTAAATAGCTACGATTCAAAGGGAGAAAATTAAATACTGTTTGGAAAATCAAATTGCTGCTTTCGCTGGAGAGTTAAACAACTTTTCAGGAAACACAGTAATTTAATACAGATATTTACCAGAGAAATTTATTTATAAGATTGTTTTTTTAACGATTTGAGAGCAAGTAGGAAATGAGAAAAATAGAGAGAAGAGTCAATAAAAGGGATGTATGGGAAAACAAGAGATAAAAGAGACATGAGGAAACACAGAAAATGAAAGACAAAAAGAATAACTTTTACAATAGAATAGTTCAGTTGGAAGGGACCTACAATGATCATGTAGTCCAAATGCAATGTTACTATTATTCCGCATTAGTCTGTACAATGCATCCTCTAAACACACACATTAAAGAAAAGATTCCACCAAAAGTGGACTTTCCAGATTACCGAAACTTTAAATGATAAATTGTTAAATTGGAGTTCAACGGGAAAAAAACCCACACACACTGCTAGTTTAGTTAAATGCTCAGGATTTTTATTTCCATTTCCCTCTGTCCTTCAGCCTGTGGTGAATGCTGAAGAGCACAGCATCCCAAGAGAGCTCTCTTCGTTGTGCTCCCATCACTGCAGTCTGTGGGGGCGGCACTTCATGTACAAGCCCCAGATAAATTGGCATTTAGGAACCAAAATGCTCTTGCGTCCTGGACAGCAATTCACTCTGCCCTTTTCTCTCTACAGTCTGATACCGTAGGTGCAAAAACTCATTAGGCATCTGTCAGTTTAGGTCAAACGTATCCCACATACTTAACTTCAGCTCAATTCAGAAATGGTGATTCTTGGTGACAGGTGATTATCTCTACCTACTGCTCTGTTGCGACCGAAGTTTGGGCAACCAAATTTGGCCCAAGTCTTGCTGTGAAAGATATCTGAAACAGTTACAGCAATTTGCTGTTTTCACCAGCAACCCACTGCATAATAATCTTGTTTTCTGAGTACTCACATGGTATAGAAGACTATGGATTCTATTTTACATTCAGCTTGAGAAAAACTGAATTCTTATCTCCAGCTTCTGGGTGTACCCTGCTCTTCAAACATAAACGTCTTCTCTCCCCCGCTTCTATTAATAATTTAGGTCATTATTTTAGGCAGATCAGCTCATCTCCCCAAAACATGCAGGTGATTACAGACAAACATCCTCAGCCTCTGCTAAAACAGTCCTTGCAGCAATGACACTCTTATTTCTAAAAGTTCAATAGGAAGAATAGTCCAAATAGTTCAGCCTGGCAGGATGAAAAATCTTGGACTTTTCGGCTACAATGCTCTTTAGAAAGGATTCTCTGTCTTGTTCATTAATGTGACATTTCAGAGCCGCCAACAGGCAGAAGCACCAGGGAGGAGACACAGGGAAGGAGAAGATGCTGAAAGCCGACTTAACTTTGACTGGCTCACAGTTTCTGAAAAGCTGCTAAGAAAGGAGCCTGGTATTCCCACTTCCTCGGCCGTTCCTCCAGATCTCTATACGGGTGGCAGCATGCTGGGCCTTCTGCTCCTTGCTCAGCACAGCACTCTGTCTCCCTCATACCATGCAAAATAGTCCCAACCTACCTCAAAGGTGACAGCACTGGATGACGCGGAAAGGTGACCAGACAGGGCTCATGCACATTGGCAATGAGGGAACAGTTTAAATCACTAAAGTCAGCCTGCCTAAACCACATTGCAGGCAAGAACTACACCCATGGAGATAACCAGGCAGGTATTCACCTGTATCTAGCCTTGCTCAAGTCAAGTGTGATCTCCACTCTTCACTGTCTGGGTGACCTACAGTAATTTTTTAGGTTAATCTTTATTGTGCTGTTAAAAGTAATGTCTGTTTTCAAAGAATGCATGTATGTTACTTCACTGATTTTAGCATGAGTACATCAAGCATATATACTGGATTCTTCACATTTAACATCTGCAAGAGATCCTTGTTGACTCCCCTTGAAAAAGCTGACTTTGTTTTGACCTTTTAATCTATTTTATTCTAACAATATTGAACTATTTCTGTTGTGCTCAATTTTTCACTTACAAAAGGCATGTCTAATGCTGAGAGACATCTACCACTGCGCTGACAGAAGATAAAATACACAATGTTCTTGCAGGACAGATAATGAATTACACTTTAGATATATGACATATACTACAGCAGTTTAGTGAACAGGACTTTATACCAAACCACACAGTTTCATTTCTTTTCGAACATCTGCAACGAGTCAGTAATTCTACTCACTCCCCTCCCAAGCTAAATGCTCTCAAATGACTGTACCTTTCATGCATATAGTTGACTCCGAGTAACAACTGTATAAACCAGTCTATTACTTGTCTTTGAGTGAATAACTTCCCAGAATTTTTGTACTCTTGAATTTTAAAGTCTAGATCTCCACCCTGAAAAATACCAAAACATATTTGTACATTTAAAGTAAGTTTTAAAAATGTCTTCTCTTTCATCAAAGCACAGGACTCCACTTTCTTAGACCTTCAGGCTCCCCACCATGTAGCCTGTAAAAATAATATTTGCACATCAATTCTGAACTCTCCCAGCACCAAAAGCATACACAACTGAGGATCCAAATGAGATAAAGCAGTCTGGCTGCCTAGGGAAAGTAGGTCAGTTTTCTCTTAGTGTTATACACAATATCATTAAAGTTTTGAACTGTTCTCACTCCATGTCACCCAACTTTCGTCATGTACACCTGAGCTGGTCTGCTCAAACTCGCTTCATAGTTAACACAAAGGAACAGGCACCTGTATAGTGCAATTATCTCTGACATCAAGCTATCTACCTCAGGAAGGGATGGACCATGTTGTAGAAATGCTGGTTTTCTACAAATGTTTGTGATGAGGGCCTACGTTGACTGGCTAATGTGTAGACATTTAAATCAAGTAAAATAAATCTGCCCCAAACCGGTCCAAATAAGTTTATAAATTTGGGAAAAGCATTTCCACTTAAGTCAAACATTGCACAGTCAAGAGACACTCTCATTTATAATGATGAAATAACTTTGTCAGCATCAAAGAAACCATGCTGTTCTCTTAAGAATTAAACCACAGTCTCCTTAATTATGATACTTTGTCCCTCTTCCAAACTCAGTTTTGCCAGAAACAAAGCAGAATTAAAGCTTCAAGAATCTGCAGCATCTGTTATTGTAAATACTTCATTAAAACTACAATTGATCTTGAAGGAGCACTAGAAATGGAGCAATATGACACACAGTAGGAGTGAAAATAAACTAGAAAATATATACAGAAAAAGACTACTTGAAATTTGTAAGTTAGACATTTGGAAATATCAGTTGAACAACAGAATGATGAAAAGAGATTTTCGAGGAGACTTCTATGAAAACTGTTCATTTTGCTAAAAAACAGACAGATGGTTGTCAGCTTGTTGTTTATCCAGCTTATGAAATAAATGGATTTTGTCTACAAGAATACATATTAGTGGCAAGCACTATGCTGAGGTAACTAATCCCAGAGCAAAGGGACTGTGAGTCTCATTGTACTCTAGTGACTAATTACATCAGGACAGCTTATTCTCCATAAATCATTACTTTTACATTATACATTCTGCACAAAATCAGATGTTTTATGTGCCATACAAAAGAAAATAGTTTAACCTGTACCAATATTTCCCATCATCAACCCTTCCCTTCTCTGTTGACTCTCAACATTCTATGATCTCTTCAGCATTTCTTGTTTTTCTGTTCCTCATACTGCTGCTACAAAATAAGCAAGTTCTGTCCTTGCAGATTCATACATTTCTGTCCTGTACTTTGACATGAATTTACAGTAATTTCTCTGATCCCTGAGGTTCTAACTTGCAACATTCAAGAGTGAGTGTGTTAAAAAAAAGAAAATATGTTTAGTCATGTATCAAAAATGTGTTCCGTGACAATGTCCTGCAATTTTTTAATTGAAATGTCTGAATCATCTCATTCACTAGGGAAAGGAATATGGCTTCAGCTCTCCATCTGCCTCTCTGCTGCAGCCCAGATAGAAGCTCTTCTGGGAACACGGAGCTCTCAGCAGCTGCTTCCCCTTTGCAACTCCAAATGTTCAACAGCTTTCCCCTGGTTGCTTGCAGCAGAGCAGAGGAAGGAAAGAAAAAGCGTTGCTGGGTACTCTGCTGCATGGCAACCAGATGGGCTGTGTCTGAGCCTACTCACACATCTCGAAAATAATGACTCACCTATTGCAGACTGCTGCCCCAGACCATCCGGAGCCAACTGTAGCAAGAGCCCAAGACTCAGGGGCTGCTCAAAAACGTGTCAGCTGGCTACTGGTCATGAGGGACTATGTACTATCCAGGTGAGGACAGATGAAGTGTAGCGGGCTCCAATCGGTGTTTCTCCCTGTCCCAATGTGTCCCCTCTCACCATTACACATTGTTAAGAAAAATGCAAAGAAAGGAAATGTAGGACCTACAGAGTTAGGCTAGTGAATATTCTCTTTAGTCAGGGGACATTTCCTTCAAAAGGTCTAAGGAGAACAAAAGCAGTCGGATAAAGTATTACATTGCCCTCAAGTAACTGTATGGCTTTTTCCCTTCAAGCAGAGAAGGCCGGTCTCAATGTCCTACAATTAATTTAACCTTGATTTTGTTTCTAAAAAAAGGAAAAAAAACACACCATCAAGGATTTGCTGAAATATTGCTGCCAAGAAACTCTGAAGAAATTTGCTAACCCAATTTCGCATTTTGGAAGGTCATTATAATGAAGTTCATAAGGAATTTAACAGATTAAGTACTTAAAGAGCTTCCAAGCTCCCGTTTTTATTTAAATATCGAGAGTATCAAATACACCAGTAACTTCTTTAAAACAGCTTAGGATCTAGAGCTGATAATGTGAACAGGTACTAATTGCTTTAGTTATTGCTTTTGCTCAGATTTCCTTACGGTATGTATACTTACATCACAGCTGAGATCACAGTGAAGAGACAGAAATAATTGTTTGGGGGAAAGTACAACCACTTCTAGTTTATGATGTCTTAAAATCATGCAACTTTTAAACTAACTACTTTGTAAAAACTGTATTTTATTGAAGTCCAATTTATGCTACAAAATGAAATCCAAGGTTCATGCAGGCATTTTGTTTAAAATCTGACTTATCTGACAATATTTATATTGCCTGTAAGCTTTTGATTCAGGAAAACTGCCACAGCAGCTCAACAAGAAGATCAAAATAGGACACATCTACTTCTTTTCAATAATTTTGAGTGAATTCAGTTATAATAAAAGACGTCAAGCTGAGCAAAGGAGACCCATGTTCTTTTTTGTTCACAGGACAGGTATTGCACGGGGCAGCTGCATTGGAGGCTTACTCTATGCCACTTATGCAAGAATGAACAAAGTACTGTGGCTAATGAATAAGTCACAGTACTTTACAGAAAAAAGAGTAAGGCTCAGGGGGTAGCTCTGTTTCCATGCCAACTTAATGTTTATTCTTTGTTTTGAGTCTGCCCAAGAGTACCAATTACTGCCAATCTGGTAATTACTCTATGCATGAGAAACTGAATGTACTAGACTTCCAAACAAGGATCAGGTAGCAATAAATTTTTCTCATTCTGAATCTAAGTGTGATTTAAACAGGCATCTTTTAGATAAAAAGATCCAAATCCCACCACATACAAAGGCAGGTTACAGATAAGTAAATATGAAACTATACCTTCTGGAAATACTCCCACTAATATAGAAAAGAAACTTCATAGCACTGTGCAAAACCTTGCTCTGTACTTTCCTTGTCTGAACATCCAATTAAACATATCATAATTGCTTAAATGCAATGCTACTACATAGCGTGTCCTTTTGGAAAAAGTCAGAAGCACATCCTAGTGGACCCACTGTCATTCTGGGCTTCAGCTGCATAGCCAACGCATCCACTCCCTCCTCCTTCATTTCCCTTGGTCTAATACATTCTCATGTGTTTGCGTATGACTCCCACATCCTAGGGTAACTCTGCACCGTAATGTTTTCATGCAGGGTAGTTTACATTGCCTGAATAAAATTAAATTCCAAGGGGAAAAAAAAAAAAAAGAAAAAAGTGAAAAAAGCAGTGGACCAAAGCCACTAGTCAAGCTCTGTAACACTGCTGCAAGAGGCTCCTTTATTCCTACAGGTTTATGTGATCTGGTCTTAGGCCACTTTGTACCACTAGCAGAGAGAAAATTAATCTTACTGCACGGGAATATCTGGGCAGTTAGAACAATCCTTCAGTCCTGAGCTCTGGATTTCCACAGACAGTTGGCAATATCAAATTTCCATCAAGCCCCAGCTGTCAGACATTCAGGGAATGAGGCAAAGAGCTTCTGCATGGGTGTTAAAATAATATGTGAACAAATATTCACATTGCATAACAGAACTGAACATTTCAGATCTATTTTTTTTTAATCCCAGAAATAAAGAGGCATTTACCTGTCATCAAAGAAAGCTTCTAAGCAAGCAATGACTGGCAGGAATAGTACTTCTTTAATTACTCACACCAAAGCTGAATGCTTGAAGAAAAGTGATTCATGAATACAAGTCTCATTGGTGGACCGGTAACCCAGTAGTCCAGGGTCATTAACCTCCAAAGCATTTCAAACATCTAGCAGAGCACAACTGAAAAGTCTGCTTCACACTTTCATGAACAGATCTCTATATGCATAACAGATTATATTTTTTAAAACAGCACATCTGTATTTAAAACAAACTAGGCATTTGTTTTATATAAACTCCTTAAAAGCTGGCTTAAATATGTTTAAATTCTTATTTTAAAGCCTTGAGACAGATTTCAGCAATATGTTTTTAAACCAAATGCTGGAGTCAAAAAACCTGGTAGTACATCCTGCTTTAATATCTGCTGTATCCTCTACACTCTGGTCTTTGGCTCACATTATTCCCCACTTCATAAAGCCAATGCTGCTACCAAACTCATCATCCATATGATCAGGCTTAAGCCTCTTGTAATCACCTCCAAATGAAAAGAGAATTCTCCCTTCCTCATTTACATCAGATTTCATACCATGCCCCTATACTCCCAGTTTCATGCTCTCGCACCTATCAGTAATACGTATGTGGTAAAACCTTTCTGAGTTCACCCACAGACGCAGCAGTGTATCTGCACTGAAGTCTTTCTGGTAACACTGATTATAGTGAATGAAATTAACTTTAATGTTTAAATTTCCTCTTCGCTGGTTTGTTTGTCTATGAGCTACAAGTCTCACATGAGCAGGTAATACTATTTATTTGAAATATGTCGAAGTAGCGGGTGATACCACAAGTAAGAAATCAGAGTAAAATTCAAACTAAAACATTAAAAAAAAACTGGGGTAGGTTTATTTTCATGCCCTATTTTAATGCACACATTTTGTCAAATTTCTTCAAAGTAATCTACAAGTCTCACCTCGCAGTATTCAGTGATAATGCAGAAACTATCTCGCTCCACAAAGCTTGCATAAAATTTGACAATGGCTGGATGGTCTAATTTGGACAGTAGTTGTGCTTCCAGATTTGCTTCAACTGTTTCATTAGGCTTTAGGTCTCCAACAGAGATTTCCTTCAGAACCTTTCTAGAGGAAAATAAGAAATCTTTATATTAATAAAAAGAGGAAAATATAATGCTTAAAAACCCATCATAATTTCTTTAAATGCAAAGTAATAATATTAACCAAGTATTTGGCAACATGAAATGATAAGGCAAATATGGGTAAATAAAGAAAATGCATTAAAATGCAAATAAATATGCTAGTTACCATAGCAATTAAAAACATTTAAAAAATAGTATTTTGAAGTATTTTTCCCACTGACTCCCTACTGCACTGTTTTCTTCATGACATGTTTTCAGTGCTATGGATTAGTGCATAATAATAAACATAAATAAAAAAAACAAATCTAAGTGATTTCAAACCCACTCAGAGCATATGCTCAAGATTCATACATCAAATAAGGAGTAGCAAGAAACTATTTGGTTTTGCTGCATCTGCCAAAGTCTATTCATGGAGGCATGATAAAATTCCCATAGAGTGTAGCATTTCTGTGACTGTTTTTCTGGAGATAAAATCAGGATGCCGATTTTTTTTCTCAAGATCAACCTGCCCTTCACCTGAACACCTAAGTGGAAAGTGAAAATCTGGACTTGTGGCTGAAAACTAGTTCTACTGTTTCAAAGAACTCTAAATTTGTTTTGGGAGGCCCTAAATGCCCTAAGGCTGAAAAATTAAAGGGATTTTTCATATTCTTGAAGGTTAACATGCAAATGTGCCATAGCAGAATTTGTGGCTCAGACTTAGTACATGGAGTTGGGGAGTTTACTGTCAATTTTTCCTGGAAAAAAAACCCCTTAGTGCAGGGCACTACAAGGAAGGATATTTTGCTAGGTTCTTCCAGATTAAATGTTTTGAAAAGGCATTCATCTACTTTACCAGCTGCTGAGGAATGGATCACTGGTCTATGTCTGAAGGAGCCATTGGAGGCTATTAGAGAATATCGTGGTATTTTACTGAAACAGTGATGAATTTCCAGTAACTTTGGAATACATGGAAGGTAAGTTCCACACTGAAGGGATGTCTTCACAGTGCTTTCAGTAATTTCCCATTCAAAACTGCAGGGTTGTAAAATCATAGTAGTTAAAAACGGCAGCAATAAAACCACAGTAATTCCCTCGATCTAAGGAAAAAAGCTGTACTTTTTGATAAGAAAATTTCTTCCTAAATCTCAACCATCATTTTCTGACTAACAGTGCATTAATTTTTACATAAACTTGCCTAATCCCCATCTGGCAGTGTGATGAAAAAAATTACATGCCATTTGATTTGCCTGCATCTCTACAGACAAGCTTCATACCATGAAGACAGGTAACACCTACTGCAATCTTCTCATCTTCAGTTGACATGGGGACATTATTCCTTCCTTCATATAGATCATGTCACAGAACTGACAAACAGAATGGGTCCTTGTTAAACACTACTTAATACAAGTCTCTTGTTTACCCAAGACAGCAATAAAAGCCTGATGTGTTGATGTGTAGGGATAGCTTGTCATCTTAGTCACTCAGTGATTTTGATGCTGTCATCAGCTGTCAGACAAGAAGACAGGTGAGGTTTGTTGTTTTTTTTTTCTTATTTAAATTAATTCTCAGAAGAACAAATCAGGAAAATGTACTTTCATAAATAAGTGTTTTGGTTTGGCCTGGATAAATGCCAGGTGCCCACCAAAACCACTCTATCACTCCCTCTCCTCAGCTGGACAGGGGAGAGGAAACATGATGAAAGGCTCAAGGGTCGAGATAAGGACAGGGAGAGATCACTCACCACTTACTGTCACAGACAGAACAGACAGAACTTGGGGGGAAAAGGGAGTTTAATTCATCATCAACCAAATCAGAGTAGGATAATGAGAAATAAAACCAGATCTTAAAACACCTTCCCCACAGGGTTACAGCCTCCTTCAGGCATCCACCTGCTCCGGCGTGGGGTCCCTTCCACGGGCTAGAGGTGGAGATCTACTCCACCGCGGACCTCCATGGACTGCAGGGGAACAACCTGCCTCACCATGGTCTTCAGCACGAGTTGCAAGGGAAGGCTCTCTGCTCTAGCATCTTGAGCACCTCCTCTCCGCTCCTTTCTTCACTGACCTTGGTGTCTGCAGAGTTGTTTCACTCACATGGTCTCACTCCTCTCTCTCTAACTGCCGTCTCACCACATTTTTTTTTTCTTCCCCTTCTTAAATATGTTATCACAGAGGGGTCGCTGCCTGGCTTGGCCTTGGCCGGCAGCAGGTCCATCTCAGAGCCGGCTGGCACTGGCTTTATCAGACATGGGGGAGCTTCTCGCAGCTTCTCACAGAAGCCACCCCTGTAGCCCCCCCTCTACTAAAACCCTGTCACATAAACCCATAACAATAAGGTATTAGTTTTCTACAACACAATGCTAATTCATATCCAGAACTAGAAGTCATTTGCATCTAGATGCAACTGAGATTAAGCATATCTGTATGCCACTGGTATATGTGTGTACCACTTCTGTATGTAGATAAGGTTTGATTTTACTGAGTTTAAGATGACAACCAGACTTTATCTCTCCTGCAAAGATTTTGATATCTGCTTTAGTAAATGCCCTTAAAAAATAAAAACACAGATTTAAAAAGCTCTACATCGATTAAGTATTGACAAAGAAGTTACGCCAGGGTCTCAGAAATCTCACAGAGAAAATGAAGAACAGTCTCCAGATCTAAAGTGGCTCTTTTCTGATAACTTTCGAAGAAAGACAATGAAGCTAAAAGTCTTCAGTCAGAATTTCATCTTTGTAAATTAACTATACTTTTCAATACATAGAGCACTTAGAGAGTACTTAAATTCACTCCATTTCAGTATATACACAAGTAACTTGCACCCTAACAGGGAGCTAATATGGACACTTTCTGTGATTTACAGGACCCCTAAGATAACTCAAATTTGGCATCCCTGGTGATGTCAAAGAGGCTGATACATCCATAAGCTGGCAGTCTTTTTGCCTATCAAAAAAAAAAAAAGGTTAGCAATCATAAGAAAACAACAAACTTTTCTTAGCTAAACAATCCTGACTGCATTTCCCTTCACCAAGAGAATCCAGCTCTACACTTCAAAGGAGACAAAGTGTTTCTGTTTATATGGTCCAAACTGCTTTTTAAGGTTGGCTTGTTATCACTGCTCATAATTCAGCCATTGTACTTATGTATCATCTCCTGAAAACCTGCATGCATTGAACAGTTTAGAAACATACAATTAGGTAACACAAAACATTTTAAACAGGCCTTTCGAAGCATGTGACATGAATGCTTATTATGTATATTGGGAATAACAGATAGGGTCTCCTGTTAGGATTTTGTCAAGACTCCATCTGGAGTATACAGGTTCATCTCAAAGTCAATTTTTTTTCATAAAACCTGCCCCTTTCTTTTCTGCCACTTGGGCTTAAGTATTAAGCAGGATTTAAAAGGTCCAAAACTATCTGCGTGAACTGCAAAATCATAGATTTAGGTGGCACATACAGAAAAACAAGTAAAACCACCGATATGTGGATGCCCTCCAAATACAAGACTTAAAACTAACCCTTTTGATATAATGCTAAAAGAGATGTACTAATTTAAATATATTTGTTACTATAAATTCCACTTAATTTAGAATACAGACACGTAAGCAGATCGTTGAATCATTTAGGTCGGTAAAGACCTTTAAGCTCATCAAGTCCAACTGCAAACCTAACACTGCCAAGTCCACCACTAAACCATGTCCCTAAAAATAAAATATCAGTGAACACACAATGAGAAAACTTGTTACAGAAGTGCTAGCAGATAACTTAAATACAGAAATAAAGATTTTAACTGTGGTTAAAAAAACCCTAGCCTTGCAATTTAATAGCACAAAGATGCTTTGAATTTGATCTTGAACTGAAAAGACTCATGTGAATGCATTTGCATCTTAACAGTAAATAGTGCCGCCTGTTGCTGTTTACATCCATCCTGGAGGAACCTGGGTCTGGTACAGGTAAGAGCATCCATCCCCCCAGGGTAGGAAAATAACAGGAGAGATGAGCCCACTCCCCACAGCACAGTAAGCAGCCGCCCTGCCTCGGCAGACTCACGGACCTTCCCCGGGAACACCTTCTAGCTCTCCTCAGCAAAACCTCGCCGGCTTGCATTGTCACACTTCGACATGCAGCCAGGCCAGCACACCGTGTCTGAAAGTGCAATCACGTGGAGCAAATGGGGATAAATAGAGCAAGACTTAAAACAAGAGGAAAACAAGCACGAAGGTGGAATCCTCCAGGATACGGACACACACTGGGAATCCCTTTTTGAGCTTTGCTAGTGACTGACAATATGCCACAGCAGTGTTTATCTCAGTCTATTTGCACTGATCTAAAATTAAATGTTTTACAACCCATCTGGTATTTGTTTACATTGATGACATACTTCATTATTATATAATTTGGTTTATTGGATCAGATGCAATTTTTAAATGAAGATAGCCTTTCTCAAAATGCACTCTCTTTACTGAGTAAACTGCGACATGAATTATTGACTAGGTACATTTGCTTGCTGATAATGAAGTAAAAGAAATACAACTTTTTTCATGTCAGGAATAAATAGGTCTAATAAAATACCACAGAGGAGGTGTGTTCTAGGAATATATGAACAAAAATTGAAGTTCTTAATTAAATAGAAACTTCATTTTACACTGACAAGTTGTTCAGTTAACTGCAGCCTGAAATTAGCAAGACTTGCCAGCAGGTAGTCAGTGTGCAAAGCTGGGAACTTCTCATCCCATGTAGTTTATATTTCCGAGTCGTCAACATGGAGACTTGTGGCACAACCCGTGACTGTGTATTGTATTTCTATCCACGCTGGCCTTTGTAGGACTACTTCTTCACCCTGGTAACTCCTCAGCACAAGCACCAGGTACAATTCTGTAAAAATGTATCACCTCTTGCTGGCTCTGTAACTGGATCTGAAATTGGTCATAAACAATAAAATTAAAGGAGTGCCTGTCTAATTAATGATGTCTTAAAATCTATTTATCAAATGGCAGACA